TTTTTTTTTTTTTTTTTTTTTTTTGAAATTAAACAAAAAGTTTTAACATGAAATATTCGCTCATAGCAATATTTTATATTTTACTTCAATTAGTTAGTATTATATTGCTAATCATTTTAATTTATTCATTATTAAAGTCTGAACCACATTTTATGAAATGGACAATCTTTCAATTATTCGTTGCCGCAATCGGTAACGGATTTTCAGCATTACCTCCTATAATCATATATGGGGATGAATTAATGGAACGTGCATTCGAAACGCCAATTTGTTTAATTTCAAACAAAATTACTTCATTCACTTTTTACCCAATGCAGTTCTTTCCATTGTTTATTGCCTTTTATTTATGGTACGCCTTAAACAAAGGAAAGGCTGACATTGAACAAAAATGTTTTTTATGGGTGTCCACTTTTGTTTGGGCATTTTCTTTAATATTTAATATTATTGATACGATAATGTCAATGAACGAAAAGAATTGGGGAGTCGTAGTGACGGTACTACACTGTAAGAGATCTCAAAGAAGTTCGTTTTACGCTTACACAATACCCACGTCAATACTAGCTTTAGTCGCGTTTATAATGGCTTGTAGGAAATTACATCTTTATATCATTGAATGAATTTTCTTTTATAAGAATTATTATATTTAATAATATTAATTTTATTTTGTAGGTCATTCGTCATTTATTTTATATAAACAATGGAAATATCATAATGCCCGTAAGAACATTGCAACAGCAGTTGTTTTAGGACGTGCTGTTAGATTAAACACATTTTGTTTCATTTATATAATATTTCTTACATTAACCCTCATTCCAAGGATCATAAGTTATCCTAGTGACGATTCCAAATCTAATAGCGCTTTTCTTATAAGCTCTTTTATGGGCATATTACCGTATGTATATTTAATATTAATATTGTTCATCGTTCTTATTAAAAAAAAAAGTTATTAATACAAAAGAATATATATATATTTTTTTAGAGGTACTTTATTATTTTTAGTTTTTGGAGCAAAGAAACAAGCTGCATTGTTTCTTCCATTTTGTTATTATGTTCCTCCTGGTAAACCATTTAGAAGTCCTCCAGAATGTGATGGTTCGATTCACATGGAAGAAGACGGGTCATCAACATCGGATGATCATGAATCAATTCAACTTGAAATTAGAAATGAGGATGATTCATATCCAACATGTCGAGCATGTCAGATCGAATTAATGTTAAGAAACAATGTATCACCGTCTCCACCAAATTTTGATAATTAATTTAATTATTTAATAATAATTTATTTATTTATTTCATTTTACGGAAGATAAAAAGATAATAATAATAATATGGTGAAACTTGAAAAAAAAAAAAATTTAAAAACAAAATAAGAGAAGAAAAATTTTAAAATAATTTTTTTACTTTTTTTTGCTGCGCAGGCACAGCTGCTAAATAATTTAATTATAATAATTTATGACTAAAACTAGTTAAAAAAAAAAGGAGGATATTTTCTTTAAATTTTTAAAATTAATATGATATAGAAAAAGGAAGATATTTTCTTTTTTAAATTTTTAAATTATTATGATATAGAATATGGAAAAAAAAAAATCTAAAGAAATTCCTCGTTATAACGAGTAAAAATTGGTGGATTTCTGTAATTTTATTTTTTTTAANAAATTCCTCGTTATAACGAGTAAAAATTGGTGGATTTCTGTAATTTTATTTTTTTTAAAAAAAAAACAGAGATAATAATAACTAATGTACAAAAAAAAAAAAGATTAAAAATCAACAAAAAAAAAAAATTAAAATCTCTCTTTTTGCAACTTGCATGCAAATACATACATATAAACTACAATGGCTTGTTTATTTACCATGAGACAATGAGACATCCAACAATTTTTCTCTAATTAAAATTAAAATTTTGACAAGAAGGAAAAATGAATATTGCGGAACCGACGCCAATAAACCAAAATTTTAAAATTTTCGGAACATAATTTAACAACTTAATACAGTTTCGTATTTATTTTTAAACGGAAGATTATTTTATCCGGTGTAATTCACGGGATTTCCGTTTATTTGTTACTGAAAAATCTCGTTACAGGTTGCACTGATTTCGTTCATACCTGGTTTTCGTATTGGAGAAACTTTATTTACGGATTTAAATCCGAAGGTGGAAAGCTTTCTGGATTATCAATTATGGCGCTGGCATCGTGTAACCGCTATAAAAATTACTGTATATAGATATCAAATGAAAATCAAAATTTAATTAAGCAATTAAGTAATAAATGAATAAAGAATAACTGAATAAATAGTTAATGAATAAAATAACCATATTACTGGTATATTTGCGTACAAAAGAAAACATTTATTAAGATTTTATTGATGCGTATTTATTTTTAAGGAATTTCTCCTTGAAATCGAAATTATAATCTAAAAAAAAAAGATGAATTAAAGTTACATTTAATATATTTGACTTGTACAAATTCGGATCTATTTGTTTTTTTTTTTTTTTACACTGCATGTATAAGTCCTCCAGGTCGTAGCAAACTGCTCATAAAAAAGCACCCCAGAATAAAAAAAAGGTACGCTTAAAATTATCAATAATCAAAAATATGATTGATCAAGTGTAAAATCTAAAATATCTAAATGACTAAAATTGTAAATTATAATGATAATTAATTCTGATTGTTTGTTTCAGTAACACGTTTAATGTAATATTTTTAATAATACATTTTAGGATAATCTATTCAAATATATAATAATTGTTTAACGTACCTTTTTTTTCAATTGAAACAAAAACAAATTAGCACGAATTAGATTTCGTGTGTGTGCATATCTAAGTTCTAATAATCTACGACAAAAAAGAACTCAGAACTCAGAAGGCACGAGTAAAGGGTAAACTGTAAACCTTATTGGGTATTTAAATGATGATTAATTTAATGCACATATAAATCAATTCCGCATATTTCTCAATACTGCTAGATCATGTGCTTGATCTATGCTAAATAAGCTTAACAACGTGGATTATCATTTTTATTAATTGATTTTTTCTAAATAAAGAGAATAAAATATAATAATCTTATCTTTTACTGTGATGTAATTAATAATACGCTATTTGTATTACTTTTATCTATCTCTTTTGTTACAGTGAGAGAAAAAATTTTTAATAAATTAATTTTAATAAATATAGTTTCCGTTATATAAATCTTCTACAGGATACAATTGATACATGTATTGCCTTCGGAAAATTACACGATCGGGTTATCCGTATGGACTTATATTATCACGTATCTTGTTTAAATATCCGGATGTAATCAACTTCTATTTTTGGAAAGTTTTTTGGGTTTCATCTACAGAACGTTAAATGAGATTTAGGGGTTTATTGTCATATCGTTTGTGCTGGTCCTACTGTCGGATTTTTTCATATATAACAGCTACTCTACTACATATTCACCCATTTTACCGACACCTGTTTCACCGCATAAAATCTACTGACTTAACTTGCCATTTCGCCGACATTGTCATCATCCTACGTATATTTTTAATTATTTTACTATATAATTCATTTTTATATTTTGTATAAGTAGTAATAATATGAAACGACTAATTTGTTATTGGAATATGCAAGTAAATAAGTTTACAAATTTTTTAAAAGTAGTAAATTTTTCTTTATTAATTATAGTGTTATGAGCAATTCCTCAAAAAAAAAATAATTTGAAATTAAGGCGCAGTAAGGTAAAATGTCAATGGTCGGTATTACGACACTCGGCTGAAATTCAGTATGGCGTACATGTGACATATATTTTTATTATAAAGACAAGCACAGAGGAGTATACATGCTAGAATTACTAAAACTAGACTATACTATTTATAATTGCTACCACCTAACTCGTGATTAATACCCATGGACCGTTCCGCCTACTATTCACACAAGATATATAAGTGAAGATTGCGGTAAATCCGTTTCGGCCGATTTATTTGATTTCTGTTACTAAGTTTCGAAGTTGAAGCATAGTAATATTTCTTCTTATTTTTGGTGATATTTCTCTCACTTTTTAAAAGCGTCATTGCGCAAGTTCCGGATAATTTGGTTAATTCGAAGGTTGTGGAAATCATAAATTTCATGATAGTTGTTTTACGAGCTGAAATTTTTAATATAATTGTAAACAAAATCTGTAAGACTTTGCGTTGATGTACTGTATCAGTAGATATAGATGATGTGATAAGTCTGAAGCAGTTCTGAAAATGTCCAATCGCTCAATGTCGTCTATTAATGTGTAAGTGATTGTTCCTAATAATGGGTGATTGACTATAATATCATGTAATAATGTAGTATCTTTTGCTTGATTTACTTGAGGGGTTGAGGTAAAACTGAAGAGCAAAAACCTAGTATATGGGTATTCGTTAAATTTTGGATAATAACGTTTAAGGATGTCTCTGCTCGGAAAATGTGATTTAAGTTTGGGTTTAAAGAATTGTTGTTTTGTTTTTATGTCGCTGCAGGAATCGCTGTTATGATTGAATTTGACCCAGAGCTGAGGATATTTACAGTTAGGTATGTCTGTCCGCACGCAATGATATTTCTTGATTTTCTTGATGTGCTTTACGCGTACTACTGAATTAACGCGTTCCTAGTTGTCTGTTATTAAAATCCAATCTATGTCAGATATTCTGAAGTGGTTGAATAAAGTTCGTTATTTAAAAATTGAGAAAAAGTATAAGCCTTCGTTAGGCTTATGAGTGAAAAATGGAGGAGTGTCGGTTCATTTCATGATCGGTAAAATGAGTCTGTAAATCATATCGTGATCATTCTACTAGATAATGGTGCCATAATTAGTACTAATTTCTTTACATGTTAAATTTCTATTAACTTCAGTTAATCTCTTTTAATCGTAAACTACTCCACTGCATAAAGAATTTATACTGGAAATTCTAGCTGCTGTTGCTAATAAATCGAAAAATCTAAAAATGCAACGTTTTTTTATCGAAGTATATAGATTCTTCTACCGTTTCATTTTACAAGTATAGTATGTTGTTAAATTTACTGCTGTTTGTAATATTTAGTACAAGCAATTATATTATTGTATCTCCTATTAATTAAACTAGAGTGCGCACGATCCCATAGTATAGTTCTCCTTCGTCAAAAACGCTTCTTTACCGCAAAATCCTTCCCAAAATACAAGTTGTAGATGTCTGTAACTCTCCTTGAACTCCGTATTTTTCTTTGTCATGCGTAAATATATCAGCATTGAGAGGTATCTTTTTGAATTTTTCTTTTTACTCTGATGAATTTTGATTTTTCAATACATATACGGTGTATCTTCGTTTCAGTACAATCATTTTGTGTTTCTTGATTGAAATATTTATTTTAATATATAAAGTAACTAAGATCTTATACTATTAATAAGGTTGAACTGAAAAGTAAAAAATTACTAAATTAATTAGTAGTCATGATAAGTTACGTTTAGATCATCGGCAATAATTATTATAATTAATGAAAAATAGATGTGACCATGGCAGGAGTGAATGTTTAAGAAAAAATGAGATAGGCGAACACGAAAGAGGAACAAGATGTTTTATTGGATGGACGACTAAACATGAGTAGGCTTACAAGTAAGTAGTTAGTTGGATGATGTTGGAAGGAGAAATTTATAATAGAATGATTTAAATCTCGATATTTACCTTCAGTTTGTGAGTTGCAATAAGCATTTGAAAAGAAAATTTTTAATAAAGTATCCGTCATTTTATGCGTTGACAAATTAATAATAGTTTTACGTGCAACTCCACTTAAAAAAAAAAAAAGCTTTATAACCTTCCTATTAACACAGCAAGCATTATTATCAATAATAACTTCTTCCCTCCTATAAGCGACTTACATCAAAGCACAATTCAACAACGTTGACGCTACACTCGATGACAGATACCATGCTCTCTATCCGGCACTAATTAAAAAAGGAGATGACGATCTAACTTGTTGGCCAATTTTTCAACTGAGATGCGTCAATTGACTGACGTACAACATTTATACGTAAAATCAGTTATTATTCTTGATGTTTCCAATGGCAAAGCTTATTAAAAGTTCTACCTCATACTGCTTAAAGGAAGTGAGGATTTATATCTGATCAAACAATGGATGGAACGTTCATTGGGTCAACAGGTCTTATTGATCATGATGGAGTGATATATTTATGGAAGCGTACGGGTTGGATGGATTTGTAACACTTGGAGCAGCTTTTGAATTATATTTATTTACTTTTGCAGTATGTAATTGAATAATAATTGTACCAATGTTTTACGAATAAACTCTCCTAATTTTATATAAATTCTCGTGTTAGATTTTTTTAAGATGTTAAGGATATATTCTTAAATATCTTTTTTCCATAACAGCTGTCGATATTTAAATTCACGATATAGTATAGTACTACTTGTTTGTGCCGTTATTCCAGTTCCTTTACCGGTATGAATTATATTATTCATATTATTTTCTGTCTAAATAAGACTTGATTTTTCTTTTATTTTAATAAATGTAGGTATACTTCACTTTAGTAATTTTAACTAATACAAAGAGAAGGAATATGTTGCAGCTGCAACTGATGATCCATCCATGCGAACGACATGATGAGCGTACCCTATTGTAATATCATTAAAATAGCATAGTATGCTACGCATAAATTGTGGTAGTATTTATTTTTTGGTTTTAGTATCGATAATAAAAATAACGACATGAAAAGTGAGATTATAGTGTTATACCATAATACCCTATAAATAAATTATTCAAATACATGTTTATATTCTTAATAGTATTTAAATAAGTAGTATTTTAAAATAAAAGGTTTAGACTAAAAAATTTGTTGCATCTTTTTTTTTTATTTAATTCGTGTAATTTGTTAATTCGTCACGCACATTTATTTCAATTTGTTTAATAGAAGTTTGATTCATTTCAATCGTTTCGTGAATTACAATCGTTTATTAGACGATGTTATAATGAGAACTCATGTAGATCAAGTTGACAGAGGTACTGGACATAGCTGGAGTATGCTATAACACAACATCTTTGCCCTTCAATTTTCAAATTTACTTTAACTAAATAATTAATGGAATAGTAAAAAAAAATAAAATAAAATAATATTATGGCATTTTCAATTTCCCATTTATCGAAATCTTGAATTTTACGTAAAAGTGTTTTCGATATATATTCAGAGACACAAGATTTTTTCGTAACATCTATTGTTTTCAACATTTATTTATTTTTATTTTTCGAATTTTCGAATCATTTTTAATTATTATTATTCATTCAATAAAGTTATTCTCCAACTAGATTAGTTGAGTCAATTGATTTATATTTAAATTGAAATGTATAATATATACGGTATATAAAATTGCGATTTTTTTGGGGTAATTAAATTCCCTACCCAAGATTTCCGAAACGTTCTTCCTTTATTATTTGTCAGATTTCATTTAAGTTCGCCTACAACAAAAGAGAAAAGAACTTGATGACTTATTGCAATATGCATACGTTTTGCTGGCAACATGTAAATGAAATATTTATTGCCTTGTCAATGAATTTACTTAATAAATTGACAATTTCATCTAAGAGCTTGAATACTTCTGGAATACTATACGCCGAAGCCCGAAGGAACGGTTCCAGACTCCATTTCGAAAGTGCCTTCGATTTTTTTTTTAAAAATTTTTGTTTTGTTCATTTTAGCGAAACGTTACTAACGTCTCGATTTTTTTTTTTTTTAGGTATGGGAAGCCGAAGTACAGTTCCGGTCTCTCACGAAGTTCCGCTTCAGTGAAATGTTCTGCAATTAATTCGTTGTCAACATTTAGGATACGATACTAGTGAATAAAATTATAGTTTGGTATGATTATTCCCTCTTCTTCGACAATTCTTCCGAATGAAAATTTCCACATAATTGCTTGTCTATTACTAATTTACTTCCTTGATCTCTTTACGATTTGACTCGTTCAGTTTAAATGGTCCATTTTAAATTATAAGGACATAAATTCTTATCAGTTATTCACAAAAAAAAATTGAAGACAAAGTCTAAAGAGATGTACTTTATTTTCCTTCATCTCTACTTTATTATTATTGATAATTCCCTTCGTCTTTTCCTGATTATCGATCGCTTCCTTTACAGTAAACACAATAAATATTTACGACTAACACACTCACATTGTTTAATGTTGTTGATGGCGCGCGTGGAGTACCCATCTTTTTAATGTTGCTGTTTTGTGACAATTTACATAACTTTTATGATAAGCATGTATACTAGAAAAAATAATAAATAATTTTAAGCTCTATACCGTTGTGTTCTAACGTTCTTGATAGAAGAATTAACATTTGAAATAGAGTTTATAAAAACAAATATTACACAATACATAAAAGTTTTGTTTGACTTGGCTTATATTTTGTAAACAAAATAAAAAGTCCATAAAATTGAAAAAAAATATTCAAAAAATTTCACAAAAAAAAAAAAAAAAAAAATGATGTGGATTTTCCTAATCATTTGTCAATCATTAATTTTGATTGGTTGATATCTTAACACATGATTTTAATTGAAAAACCAAAAAAAAAATAAAATAAAATTATAGTGTTGGCTAACATTAATCTCAAATGACGTTCATTTTTCATTTGATAAGTGAAATTTATCAAATCATTTGTCATTTTAAGTCATTTGCGCAATGAAAAATCTTTTATATATTGCATATTTGTAATTGTTCTTGAATCATGAATTTATCAAAGTATCATGCGATCTGATTTAATTTCAGTCATTATTTTATTTTGAGATCATTTAAGATTGTTCGACAACTGAATAACTGAATCAAACACTCTGGAATACGAACGTATAATTAGTAATTACTGGATATTAAAATATTTTAGTTGGTGCGTAAATTTAAATAAAATAGTTAGCAGTTAGTATCTTTTTTTTTTTTTTTAACTGATAAAATTGTTGTACTTAGTGGAATTTACAAAAAAAAAGTACAAAAAAGTCCGGCCTGTCTGTTAATATGCACGTGACGAAGTCCAAAAATCGGGAACACGAATTTTCTTCAAATTACAGGGGTTGATATCTCGCTATATGACTATTGTGGAACCTTCAGTTTTACGTAAAACAACGCCTACATTATATCGTTTGTGGATGAACGCGATTATTAATAACGAAATTTGTGTAAATTTAGGATAAATCAAATCATTAACATAAAAGGTAACGTTGAAACTTCTAGATCTGTCAATGAGAATGAAAAAAATTAAAGTTTCAAAACAAACAATTGTAATAATTAAAAAATATTGAAATAATAGTAGGTTCTTTGATGTAAATATTAAAATATTTTGACAATATCTCCATGTCGGACTTTTATTTTAACGTATTAATACATAGCGATAGTAAGTAAAGAGTAAACTATTCTTATATTATCGCAATAACAGAATCAAATTCGATTATAAACTCTTAGACAAAATTACTTATAAAAGAGGATTTTCCAATTTTCTAGCAACACAGGATATCAAAAAGTATTTTTATTTTGATTATGGAATAGTGTTTGTTTATTCAAAAAAAACGCCGAATGATAATAAATAGTAAATTTCATCAAATTTGTGTTAGTATTTGTATGTAAATGAGTAAATGGTATTCGGAATAACAAAATAAACTTAAAAAAGTTTAGTCGAAAGCCGATCTAAATATTTAACAATTCTCTGTTTTTTTGAATAACAAAAAAAATTCAATTCAATATAAAACTTTTCCCATTTATTTCATTTTCACATGATAATTATTTGTCACACTAAAGTGCTGACGTATAATTGATTTTACAATTACCCTGCAATTACCTGTATATATTGCTTAATTTGGTTTCATTGTAAATAATATGCTATTCACTCTATTTTAATTAAGTTAAATTTGGCAAAGTTTGGCATAAATCGTGTCACGCATGTGTGTTACGTAATTTCAAATAATTTAAATAATTTATAATTTGTTCCAATTGAATTTGCCGAATTTTGGCCGAATTTACCGTGACCATATAATGCTATTTTTGTACAACCGGCATAAAAAATACCTTATATATAGAAAATTTTCTCACCCCCATTACCAAAAAAAAAAAAAATTATATTTCTTATTAAAAATATGCAATCACAAACGAATCTAAATAATAATGATGATAATTCATTATTAAAGTTTGATAATAAAGAATTTATATATACATGGAGAATAAAAGATTTTCAAGATTATTATAATGATATGCCGGATCGTAAGAATGATTATTACATATTTAGCGAAAGATTTTCTTCACCTGGACCTCATATTACGCAATCAAATTTTGACCCACAATCTTTTATTTATAAATGGCGCTTACGACTACGCATACATGGATATCGTGATACTATTAATAGTTATTATTATAGTTATACTATGTATGATAATAAGAATAATAAAATTTCTTTAAATTTAATTCCTTATGATGAAGAATTAAAGATTACTGAAGATAATCAAGAGATTAATTATAAATATGAGATCATTAGAAGTCATCCAGATAACCGTATTATATTTCAACAAGAAAATGAAATGGAAATTTATGAACAAAAATCATCAGAAAAAAGTTTAGGGGAAATTATTAATATTTTTCCTGATCAAAATATTAATTCAAGAACAGATTTAAGAATTAGAGTTTATATAAAGATTATAGAGAAGAAATCACATATGAAACCCCCACCAAAATTATTATTACCTCATTTCATAGATTATTTTGATAACGGATACTTTAGTGATATTAATTTTACATTTGATTGTGGTTCAAACATTAAAGCCTCAAAAATTATTCTCGCTTCTAGATCAGAATATTTTAAAACAATGTTTAATGGAAAATGGAAAGAATCAAAAGAATCAAAAATTTATATTAAAGATACAAAATATAAAATATTTCGTCACCTTTTAAAATACATTTACACAAACGAATTGGACGAAGGATTAAATTTGGATGAACTTAAGGATTTATATATTGAATCAGATTTAAGAAATTTAGAGGAACTTCGAAAGATGGTCGCTATTTCTATTGGAGAGATTATGAACGTAGAAAATTGGGAACAAGTATTAAAATTTGGTTATGAAATTGATAATGAAGGAATTAAATATTCTGCCACATTATTTGGGATAAATAATTGGGAAGAAATTTGTGCAAAGAAACAACATAAAGAATTAACTTTAGATAATATTTTATCATTAAAATTAATCTTACTTAACTTTGAGAATACTGGAAATCATAAAAGTAATTTCAATAATAATTTGAATTTTTTTAATTTCAAGAAATTCTTTGAAAAATTTAATTGGGATGCTCGATTTATTTTACTTATAATTATTTTTATTTTAGGAATTATTAATATTTCTATTATTAAATGATTGTGTTTTTACATTTATTCTTTATGAAAGGTTTTATATTAATAAAAAAGGGATTCGTTAGTCTGATGCAAAAATTATGACGTAACACTATGACGCAAAACTAATTTTATCCGAAAGGGTTGTAGCAGTATGCAATAATTACAACATGATAGACATGATAGACAGAAAATGGTGGTTCTATTATCCCATAAAGAAATTCGATGAAAATGATTTAACAGTGTATTTATAAGCAAATTGAATAATTAGAGTCTATTTTGGGTAATTTGATACAAAATTCAAAAATTTCTCTTTTAATTTTTTACCGTATCGTATCGTATCGTATCACCGTATCGTATTAACCGTACCGTATCGTATTTATAGTATGCGTGAGAATATATCTTATTTGATCATGTGATTCTTTTAAAAATCTAGAAATTTAGCCAGTCGTTGCTAAGCCGATTGGCAATTATTATATATCAGCCACATAATTGTTTATGTGACACGTTAGAGTTATACTGACGACCGAGGCCAATTTCTCCTTATAAAATATATTTGCAAAGCCACAAACTTGATTTTTTTTCCTCAAAGCCATTATATTGATAATTTTATTAAATTTGTCCTCACAAAAGTGTAATATGTGTTCGTCGTTGGTATATTGTAAGCCTCAGTTTACAAAAAGTTAATTTCACGTTTGATTTCATATCTTTTACTTTTTAACTTGAACTTTTATAAAGAAATAATTGATTTTCTAAAGACATAATGAGCTCCGATTACTGTTGTGGGTAAGAATTACGCCTAATGAATTCAAAGATTTTTTTTTTTCTGTCTTAAGCTGTTTGAGTCGAATAAGCAGTAATTATGAGAAATTTTTTTCTTTTCCCTAAATTCTATGCAGGATCGAAATACGACTTGGCACGATTATTCTAACCGTCATTAGTCTTGTATGATATAAAATCTTTCGAAAAAAAAAAAATGATTTCTATAATTTACTAACATTATTTTTATATCCGAATGTCTTGCTGTTCAGATTATCTACATTTTCTTTGCCAGTGTCTTCTTTGCTAAACCGGATAGTATGTACTGTATATTTAAATAAACGCTGATATTTACCATACGCGTATCATTTTAATTTTTTTTTTTAATTACGTTATAAAAGTTGTATCCTACGGACTTCCACGCGTGTTAACTATAGTCTTCGGAGTTTTATTCATTTTATTTGTATTAAACTCTATATTTGGAATTACCGGTATACTCTTCGTAAGTCCGTTAATAATTATGTATATATATTTTTAAATTCAAAACATTTTTTTTTTTAACACGTATATATATGACATATCTAAGAAATCACCAGGAGGAATTAAATTATATGCATATATATTATGGGGAGCTGTAATAATATACATAGGCCTTATAGCTATTGTTGTTACTAATATTATACGTTCCAAACAAGAAGCAATTGATTTGTGTATTAAACAAGCGGGAAAAGAAGGAACTCAAAATGTTGGTGAATCGGCTAAAAATACCAATAATAATATAAAAGAAGATTGTAATAACCGTGAAGTCGCTAAAATTTTGATTAATTCCATTGTTTTAATATTATCCACTCTCTTTACGGTAAGTGAAATTTATATGTTTATTTATTTAATTTTAGAAATTTTTGCTAAAAAATAAAAATTATTTTAGATGTCACTCGCTATAAAATCTTACAGATATTCCAATATTTTATATCGTGCTAGAATTAAAAAAATAGTATTATAAAGAAAGTGTCGTTCAACTATAAATCACGTGATTGCAACGCGTTGAACCTCAAAAAATTTGTGTAAATTATATTCCTTTTCTTTTTTTTTTTTATTTGTTTTTGTAAATAATTTATAAAAATATATTAGTGAAAATTATATAAAAAAAATTTTGATTAATATGTCAGGAGTTACAAATGAAGACCTGTTTGTATCTTTTTCGAGAATCATTAAACGTCAGTATATCGTGTACTATGAAGAATCAGTAAAATCACCTATTTAACAATATTAGTGATAGAAATAAATTAGCTGAGGAATTTTATCAGAAATGCTAAGGAATAATCTGACGCATTAAATGCCCTAGGACGGATTTATGTACTGTACTTTTTGAAAAATTAATAAATTTATGATCATTTATATATTTGTTTTTCAAGTAAGATTAATTAAGTGCAAATAAAAGTTTATATATTTATTCATTGTGTACGCTAAATTATTAACATTTTTATATCATTTGTGAGTGATTATGAAGTTTAAGAAAAATAATAAAGATACGATCTGAAATAAATGTTGTTTCTAGTTTATGAAATGTCTATTTTTATATTGTCCTTTATGGACTTTCTTTTCATCTTTTTAATCGTTTTCAAAGCTTCCTCCTATTATTACCTTCCAGATTACATGATTGATTGCGTCTACAATTATTAATTTTAATTTTCATATATATATATGTATACAGTATACATATAGTATATTCCCACATTTCAGATATCAACTTCTCCATCTCTATAAAAATTGTCTGGGAAAAATTCCGATAAATGATCATTTTTTTAGTTTATATTCCTAAAAAAAAACTCCGATATGTGATCAATTTTCTAAAAATTTTTTATAGGGCATAGTGTTCTTGTTGAAATATTTTCGGTGCATGTTTCTTCTGTATAAAATGGTTTGGTGGATTTGGATATCCATCAGCATCTTCTCAATTCAATTTATTGGCTCCTTTCTCTCACCGGACTGTTGCAAAAGCTCAAGCTGAAATAAAATATGGATACTCAATTTCATTACATGTTCCAAGCTTTTTGCGGACTTGTTGCAATAACTGCATCTGTGTAAGCACATAAAGCCATAATCACGTGCGTGATTATTGTAACAAATTAAAGCAATATTATTTTAAAAGAATAATTATAGTTTTGATATATTAAGATACTTTTTTTTATAATTATCTTATTATCATATTATCCCCTTAAATTAACCAATGTTTTTCAATAAATTATTTAAAACCTTATCACGAATAATCATTTGTTGCATTTTTTTTTTTAAAAAAAAAATCAAATCGCAACGAGATGTTGCGAACCAATTTTATTTATTTAAAAAATAAACAATTTTATACTACTTGTGAAATCTAATTTTAAGAATTATTCTTAATTGATAAATAAAGAAATAACAGTAAAAAAGATTATTAAAATATTTGTAATTAAACATAAAACTAACTATTTAATTCTGGTAATTATTAATAATCAATTTATAAATGTACCTAAATTTATCTAAATAATCATATACTAATATTTATAAATATATCTAATTATATTTACTAAAGAATCACCACAAAATAAAAAATATGAAATAAATAACTAGGGATGCTCACCATATTCACTCTCAATTCAGGTATAATGTAAATTAATAATATTCAAATAGATTGACCACACTCGTGTAACTCGGGTCAAATTTCATTTTTTGACTCGCGTACACGTGAACGTAATGCTGGCTATAATTATGGTAATGTCGGCCTGCATTATCGGTAGCAAAGCGCGGTAGTTGGCTTTAACTCGAATCCCACTATTCGGACCAAAAAAAATTCTTGACTCATCTTACTAGCCCTATAAAAAATTTTTCAGAAAAATGTACACGTGTCTGAATAAAAACTAGAAAAATCATTTATCAGAGTTTTTTCCTGAATTTTTTTTATAGGGTCGTCCTGATCTGATCCAAGCTCTAAACGACAGATTCGTAATTCTTTTATTTAATTAAACAGGAGATTCTTTATAACAAAGGAATTTCTTTTTGTTTATTTATTTCCTTACTTATTTATTTTTTATTATTTTTTGAACAGATTCTTAATTTTTTATTACCTTCGCGTATTAAATTTAAAATCAGCAGATCTTCATTTTCGAAATACACTAAGACGGGAATTTTCTGCGGAAAATTTTGGTTATTTAACGTTATTTAATTTATTTAATTAATAATTAATTAATTGGATAAAATGGTAGCAATTAATTTTTTTTTTCTATTAACTTTTTTTGTCATTAATTAATTACTAATTAAAAAAAAAAAATTTTTTTAATATTCCTTTATCTTTTTTTAAAATTTTTTAGGGTCGTTTCAAAAAGGATGAATCGGAGATAATTTGGCAAGTTGTAAATATAAAATATTTGTTAAAATATTCTAAACCATTGAAATTATAAAAGCAAGCTGCTTTAGATTAAAGCTTATTATTTAAAACTAGTTGATTTTTATCTTTCTAAAAAACGCACGTGCAATCATGCAGTGACACAGTGATCATCATAAAATTAATATTTAAAGGCTGGTTTTTGTCTCAAACACGGGTTAACAAACTTTACTCAAAAAATAAACGTTACAACTTTTTAGCAATGTCTTCAAAATTTTTGGAAGAGTTATCTAATGATTATGAAAAACTTTTTGAAACAGAAATAGGATATGATGTTATTATTTATGCAGGAGAAGAACCGAACGTTAAAGAAATCCATGCTCATTCAAATATTTTATGTATTAGTTCAAAATATTTTCGTACAGCATTTTCTAATGAATGGGCTGAAAAAAAAGATGGAAAATTTATTTTAAAAAAACCAAATATTTCGCCTCATTTATTTGACATCATTCTTAGGTAATGTATAATATTCATATAGTTTAATTTTTTTTTTGTTTAAAATTACTAAAAAATTTTTTTATAATTATTCTATTATGTTTAGATTCATTTATTGTGGAAATATTGAATTGAAAAATTTACAAGGACCAGATGTATTGAAATTATTAATAGCTGTAGAGGAACTTAATATTCAACAATTAATTTCTCATATTCAAGAATATTTAATTAAACATCAAACTGTATTTTTACATCAAAATCCAACTGGTATTCTTGAAACCATCTATCAACATGAGACATTTACGGATTTATGGGATTTTTGTCTTTAGAAGATTTGTGAAGAACCTGAAATTTTATTTAATTCTAATAAATTTGTTAACTTAAAAGCTCCTTTATTGGAATTATTGATAAAAAGAGATGATTTAAACATGGATGAAATTGAAGCTTGGGAAGGTTTATTGAAATGGTGTTTTGCTCAACAAAATTTAGATAATGATCCAACAAAATGGACCAAAGATGATATTACAAAGATTGAGAGATCATTACATAGATTTATTCCATTAATTAGAT